GTCCGCTTCTCCCTCTTTCTCTGCTTCTCCCACTGCTCATGCTCTCTCTATATATATATCTCTGTCTTAAATGAATAAATAACATTTAAAAAAAATTAACTTCACCTATTTATTTTTGTTTCTTTAGTGTTTCGCAGGACACCCAAATAGGTCAATGCACAGAGAATGCAAGAGAAAAGTCTGGGCTAGAGACAGCTTCAGATTCACAGCTGCAAGTGGTTAAAGCCATTGAGGCATTTTCCAGTAGCACATGGTAGATTCCCAGCAAATATTTACTGATGGAGTGGTCTAATGTCCCCTCCTTAGCTTACTACTCTTGCTTTCCCCAAGAAAAAAAAGGCTGGCTGGTGTCAAGACCCTAATTTGTTGTTCAAAAAAATAAAAGTTACCTAACTTGAACATACAATCCAGTGGTCTTTAAGATGGGTGTACAAACCTCTAGGAGCCCCCAAAACCATTTCTCCTTGTGGACACAGGATAATCACCAGTGGCTTCCAGGGCTACACACTGCCCCATGAACATCCACAGACGGTATATCTCTGTCCCCGCATTCCAACCAGCAACCTGATGTCAATTGGCTTGGATCACATCTTGCTTTCTCTCATGATTACCACCACCCGGGATGGTCACAAACACTGTGGCCAGAGAAACTGAATGCACTGGTAGTTGTAAGCCAATAAGGGTCTACCACTAGAGACAGAGATAGTCAGTTTCCCTGAAGCAGACTATGTGGGGAAGAGGGAGGTTATGGAATAAGAACATAAGAAATATTAGAAAGAAGGAAGAGGGAAGCACATATTGTGTGGGCATCTTTTTAATGTCCAGTGTACATCTACTCCTGGGGAACACAGAAAAGGAAGAGGAAAAGAAGGGATAATTATAGAAGGGTTGAAACCCACTTACTGGGTGATACCGCTATGATCCACATCTTATTTGTCCACATAATGCTTGGCAATGCAACTTGATCCCAGATACCCCTTCTATGAGAGCAAGCCACGTGTGGCTAATCGTGTGGCCATGACAGTATCTCCCATCCCACAGGCTATTTTCACAATGTGACTGTGATATGCCTTCCAGCATAAAGTAGGGTCTATGTTCCCTCCTCTTAAATCTCGGTGAAAATAATGTTATGTTGACTTCTGAGCTGAGGTCATACATGATGATGTAACTTCTACCTATTTCTCTCTGGAGACGCTTGCTCTTAGAACTGAGCCGCCATACTGTGTGGAAGTCCAAGTTGCTCCTGAAGAGGCCCATTTGGAGAAACCAAGCCTCCTGGCTCAAAGACATAGCTGAGCCCCGCCAACCAACACCCAGCACCAACTTGCCAGGTATGTGAACAAACCATCTTAAAAGTGGATCTGTAGCCCCTGTTCATCCACCCCAGATGGTACCACATGGAGCGGAGACAAGTTCTCCCTGAAAAACCTTTCAGAATTCAGATTTTTGAACAAACAAATGATTCTGTTGTTTGAAGCGACTAAGTTTTGCAGTTGTATTAGATAATTATGGATAAATGACACAGCGAGCAAACAGAAAATAACTATACAGCCAAATCAAACCTGTCATTCCATCCATCCCTAGCTATGTACATTATGAGAAAAAAACACCCAGCCATTACTATCCTTTAACATTTTATTATGGAAAACCTCAAACATACAGAAAGTAAACGAGTATCATGAACCCCTGTGTACCCATCACCCAGTTTCAACAATTATCCCATTCTGGGAGTCTTCAAAGTTGTTCATGTTAACAATGATTTTCAAATAACACCATATTAAAGAAAACAGGAAATGATAGACAAAATGGATGAAAACATGCAAAATTTTAATCAAAATGTATAAAAAAGAATCAACTGATATTCTAAAACTGAAAAATATACTGTTGGAAATTAAGAATTCATTTGATATATTTAACAGTAGACTGGACACAGCATAAAACAGAATCAATAAACTTGAAGACAATCAGTGAAAAATATCCAAACTTGAGCACAAAGGGAAAAATAAGGAAAAAAACAGAACAGGGAAAAAAAAAAAAAAAACCCTAACATATTTCTGATTGGGGTCCCAGAAGGAAAGGAGAGAATTGGGTAGAAGCATTATTTGAAAATGATCAAAAATGTTCTAAAACTGATGAAAAATATCAATCAATAGAATTAGAATTTAAGTCAATAAATCAAGCAAGGTGTTTTGTTTTGTTTTTTAAATCAGCCTCTGTGCAAGGGTTTGCAGGGAAATGATACTCAGGTTTTATTTAAGATAGGTAGGTGAAATTCAGAAGAGGTTAAATATGCAGGGAATCCGTGATTTAAAAAAAAAAAACAAAAAAAACTGTCTTCCAAAGCTTGCAGAAGATGGGTTTTAGAAGATTGCTAATCCTGTCAAATTGGGTCAGATGAATACTGTGCAGACATATGAGGCACAATGGGATTCATCCTGATAGTCTCCTAGGGGAAGTGGGTAACCAGGTTAAGGTGGGAGTGTGGGCCCCAGAAAACCGCTCTCTTGCTCCTACTGCTAATGTGGTAGCAGAAGGGAGTGAAGGACTCCTCATGAGAATATCACCTTAGGCAAAGGGCACTTCTGAGGGCCTCTCTTCTCTGGGAGCAAAGCAATATGGTAGGCTGGTGAGCAAGGGGTGCGAGCACCCAAAGGAGGGACCAGGGATCCTCTTCCAGCTCCCTCACTCAATTATTCCTTCTACCCCTCTTTACTCCTTAGAAACCTCCACTTTCTGCCCACATATCAGTATCAGAACCGTTCTCACTTCCCACCCAGTCCCTCGGCCCATCCCTCAGACACTCTAAAAAGCTTAGTCCTTCGCCGCTGCTCCTCCATACTACATGTCCGGCAAATGCCTATCCGGGATGAAGTCAACTCTTATTTCTATACCTACATCTGGTTTACTGACTGCTACTTAAGAAAATCACACAATGGGGAAGATGAGTACCATGCTCTCTACATATTTTCTTTTCTTTTTTTTTTTTTTTTAAGACATCGTCTTCACTTTTTATTTATTTGAGAGAGAGAGAACGAGAGACAGCATGAGAGGGAGGAGGGTCAGAGAGAGAAGCAGACTCCCCGCCGAGCAGGGAGCCCGATGTGGGACTCGATCCTGGGACTCCAGGATCACGACCCGAGCCGAAGGCAGTTGCCTAACCAACTGAGCCACCCAGGCGCCCATCTCTACATATTTTCAAATAAAATTGTATGGAAGTAAAACATGAATGAAACTCATCAGAAAAAAATTAAAACAATACAGATGTATATACAGCAAAAAATTAAAAAAAAAAAATAAAGCCATCCCCCCAAACATTTGCTGTAAAAAGTTTTGCAAATGTTCTATGCATGCATTATTGTCTTAAATGTAGCTAGATATACGTACATACATACACATATACATACATACATGAAATCAGAGTAGCTGCATTGTAGTAAACACTTCTGGGGCAACTTGCATTTTTTTTTTCTTCTTTTAAAATATGTCTTGGCGAGCTTTTCTTCTCAAAAAGTACTTATACTTTATATACTATCCCATTCCCTTATTCATATGTAAGTTATTTACTATTTTCACAATAATGAATATCCTTGTACAGCTTTCTGGATACAGTGAAAGTCTATGTCTAAAGTGGATCCCTACAAGTGAAATGTTTGGTCAAAGGGCATATGTATTTAACATTTTAATAAATACTTCTAAATTACCGTTCAAAAAGGCTGTATCAAATTGCCCTCCCAGCTGCACAGGAGAGTTACTATCCCAAGCTGGGCTCTCAACACTGCCTGGCTCTCCTTCTCTTTCCTTCCCTAGACTTCTCTCCCCCTCAATCTCCACATATCTTACTTCTGCTCAAAACCCCTTCTGCAGCCTCCAACCCCACCCAAACGTACACATTCTTAGCAAATATCTCACCAAATATTTGTAGAGAAAATGGAAGTTACTTGGCTTCCTACCCCCAAAACAACAAAACCTACCCACCCCTCTCCTGCCCTCCTTCCTCCTGTTATAATGATGGGCTAGGGAACAGTCTCCTCGGGTTAGGGCAGTCCCGGTGCTGGGGTCCTTCCCTTCACAAAGGGCTGGCTACCTTCCGTCTAGAGGTCTCAGCGTCCACTCTCTGCTCAGCTTACCCGAAATCTATCTTCTGCCTCCATCAAACAGGCTCACCTGTGCCAAATCCACTACCCCTCCTCTTAGGTGACACTATTGCCCACTCTCTTCACGAAGCCACACGCTTCTGATTTTGCGCCTCTGTCTCTAGAACACTTCTTCCGCTCTCCTCCTCTGTCCTCAGGCCCCTCTTGCCCAGACCTTAAAGTTTGGAGTTTGCGGTTTCTGTCCCCGGGGCCCCGCGCTCTTTCTCCCCGGGACCTGCCACCCTTCCCCTCCTTTCAGCCACCATCACCCCCTCTGTCTTCCCCTCTCCGATCTGTATCTTCAGCCCAGATGGCCAGTCTGTTCAAGGCTGACTTCATCCTCTCCCATTTCGCTCCCTCTCTGGCCAAACGCTAGCCCCTCCTCTGGGAAATCTTCGGGCTCCTCTCCCTCCTAACTCCGCCGCCACGTGGCTCCAGTACCTCGCAGACCTGAGGAATGTAGTTCTCCTTGAAGTAGTTCCTCAGCCGTGGGTTGGCAGTGCGTAGCGAGGCCATGACCAGAGGCCCCACTGAAACTCCCCGCCGACGCCGCGCCCCGCGAAGCAGGCGCCGCGCCCAGGCTAGGGGCTAGCGCGTCCCGGCGTTGCCCCGGCAACGGGGCGGGGCGGGGCGGACGCGGCGCGCGGAGGCCCGCGCCCCCAAGGCCGGGGCAGCCGGCAGGGAGGCGGGAGGAAGGCGGGCCCCGGCCCCGGCGGAAGCGAGAGGAAGTCCGCTTCCGGGCGGCGGCAGCCGCCGATGTGTCCCCGCGGGGCTTGTAGTCCCTGCGGCTCTTCACGTAGCCCTGCCCCCCGCCCCGCCTCTGCCAAGCTGCCGGGACGCTCGGGGGCTGCAGTGGGCGGTTTTACTAGCTTAGCAGGGCCGTTTCCGGGAGGCGGAGCTCAGACCCCATTTCCTTTCTCCTCCGCGGGCTAGCGCTCGGGTGGCGTCGGGAAACGCTTGGTCCGGGGCCTCCCGCGCCGGGCCCCGCGCTGCGCCCCAGCCCGAGCGGCAACATGGGCGGCGCCCGGGCCGTGGGCTGGGCGGCGGCGGGCCTGGTCCTCGGGGCCGGCGCCTGCTACTGCATTTACAAGCTGACGCGGGGCCAGCGGCAAGGCGGCCGCGGGCTTCGGCTGCGCCCCTCGCGCTCCGCAGGTGAGGCCACGGGGTGCCCGGCAGGTGGCCGGGGACGGCGCACCGGGGCTGGGTGTTATCCCTGGGGTGAAGGTTGAAGACCGCAGGCGCTCGTGGCTCTCCCGTGCTCGCGGCCAAAGAAGCCGAACCCGGGGAGGGAGGGAGGCTCGTGAGCGTGGCCAGGTCGAGAAGCCCAGGTGCCGAGGACGGAGCATCCACTTGATTGGGTGCGTGTGGGCTTCTGAGCTGCCCCCTGCCTCCACTTAGTTCAAAATCCCGGGATGAAAAGTTGCCCAAATTTTCCTGCCTGAGTGCGGCGTCACAGTGGAGGATTGGTTGGGTTTCTCAAAAGCATGTCAGTTGCCCCTCACGTTAGAGCTGGCTCCCGGCCTTTGTGTTACCAAAGGGGTTCCGCCTACCGTGGCCTGGGTGTTACGGGGCCTGGAGCGGTGGATGAGACTGTGCATGAAGTTGCCCTGGGAGAAGTCATTGTGGTTCATATACAAAGTTGCAGAGAGATCCTGGAGATAACAGACACCGTTGTACATATCTGTTTGAAACAGTTGTCTGCATGGGGAAGGGGGTACCGTCCTGGCCAGGAAGTGTATGGTTAGGTTGCTGTCCAAAAGTCGATTGATGCATTCAGGATTCTGAGGATTTGCTGGATGTTCTGGAGGGAAAGTTCAGGTCATGGACGCTGTTACAGAAATAATTTAAAAAATCTCTTGCCAGCCAAGAAACTCCTCTCTACAAATATAGAAAAGAACTAAAGTTTTATTGTTGAATGAGCATGAAACTAGATTGCTGTGCCCGTCCCAGGCAATCAGCTAATGGGATTGAAAAGACAGAATTCTCACCCCTTTATGTACCTAGGCAGATAAAATCTATTTCATATTACCTGCATGGTCTCAAGAAAAACAGTAACTTGTCCTTAAGAAAGGGCTTGATCAAGCACCATTTACACGTAGTTCATCCTAAATTCACTGGTAATTGAGGTGGCTATTTGTGTTAGCTAATTGCCTTTATCCAAAGGAAAAATAAGACTTCTTAGCATCTTCATGATAAGCAGGTGGTTACAACACAGAGCCAGATGCCAAGGCTAAACTCAGAGATCTGGGCTCCCTCTTTCTTGATGTTTACATTTCAAACAGATAACCCTAAAGCCCCTAAGAAAGACTTTCTTGTGTTGTAAACTGGCAAGAGGGTTACTTAGCTTTTAAAAACATATTCATTTATATCGAAGAGACAAAGGATTTACAGTTATAGCTGACTTTTGAACAAGGGGGTTTTGAACTGCGCAGGTTTACTTACGTGGAGATCTTTTTTCAGTAATATGTACAGTTCTGTAAATGTATTTTCCTTATGATTTTCTTAACATTTTCTCTAGCTTATTTTATTGTAAGAATACAGTATTTAAGACATATACAAAATATATGTTAACTGTTTTCAGTAAGGCTTCCAGTTAATGGCAGGTTATTAGTAGTTAAGTTTAGGGGAGTCCAAAGTTATACATGGATTTTCAACTGCTCTGGGGTTGGCACCCCTAAACCCTGCATTGTTCGAGGGTCAACTGTACAAGTTTACTCAAGGAGATACTCGGAGAAAACAGTAGGGAAGTCTGTTTCCCTTTTGGCACAAAGGAAAAAGCAATTTTCAAAAAAGGATTTTTATTTACCCTCACTTACAAAGCCTAATTTGTTGTCTTTGTGTGAGAGAGATTTCTGGATTCAGATACCTTCTCACTTACACTGACTCAACCTGGTGAACACTGACAAAGTCTTACTTTTAAACTTAATTTTACCAGTTTCCAAAGTCACCATTATCTTAGGTCAGGCAGCTTACAAAGTAAGTTGCTCATGGTCCCTTCTTCCTGAAGCTACATACCTTTTATCTTTGAGGACTTGACAGGTACCCATTTTTTCAGCATCATCCTTAGATTTAAGAAGATGATGTTTTTTGTTTTAATTGAGATATAATTGATATATAATATTATGTTAGTGATAGGTATACAATATAATGATTTGATATATGTATACATTGGATATCGAATATATATAATGTTTATATATTTGGTTCAATTTGATATATTTGATTCAGGTATTTGTATTTGTACATATTACAGAATGATCACCACAATAAGTTTAGTTGACATCTCTCACCTCACATAGTTATAGATTTTTTTGTTGTTGTGATGAGAACTTTTAAGATTTACTCTCGGCAACTTTCAAGTATACAATACAGTATTGCTTGCTAACTGTAGTCAGCAAGCTGTCCGTTGCTTCCCTAAGATGTATTTATCTTTAAGTTTGTACTTCTCACCACCTTCATCTGTTTTACACTTCCCCTTCGCCTGCCTCTGGCAACCCCAGTCAATCTGTTTGTATTTATGAATTCGACTTTTTTTTCTTCTTTTTTAGATTCAACATATAAGTGAGATTATTTAGTATTTGTTTTTCTTTCCTGACTTGTTTCACTTAGAATAATGCCCTCAGAGTTCACGCAGGTTGTTGCAAATGGCAGGATTTCCTTCTTTTTTATGACTAATATTCCACTATTTCAATATTCCATATATATATCTAGACCATATTTTCTTTTTTTTTTTTTAAAGATTTTATTTATTTATTTGCGAGAGAGAGAATGAGAGACAGAGAGCAGGAGAGGGAGGAGGGTCAGAGGGAGAAGCAGACTCCCTGCCGAGCAGGGAGCCCGACGCGGGACTCGATCCAGGGACTCCAGGATCACGACCTGAGTCGAAGGCAGTCGCTTAACCGACTGAGCCACCCAGGCGCCCCTAGACCATATTTTCTTTATCCATTCATCCATCAGTGGACACTGAGGTTGTTTCTCTGTCTTGCTGTTATAAATAATGCTGCAGTGAACGTGGGGATGCGTATGTCTTTTCAAGATAGTGATTTCATTTTATTCAAATAAATTCCCAGAAGTGGAATTGCTAGATTGTGTGGTAGGTCTATTCTTAATTTTTTGAGGAACCTCCAAGCTGTGTTGCATAGTGACTACACCAATTTACATTCCCACCAACAGTGCACCAGGGTTCCCTTTTCTTTACATCCTCACCAACACTTGTTATCTCTTCTCTTTGGGGTTTCTTTTTTTTTTTCCTCTCTCTTTGATACTGGCCATTCTAACAGGTGTGAGGTGATACCCTATTGTGGTTTTGATTTGCATTTCCCTGGTGATTACTGATGTTGAGCATGTTCCTGTATCTGTTGGCCATTTATATGTCTTCAGAAAAAAATGGCTATTCAGATCCTCGCTTTTTTTTTTTTTAATTATTTGGATTTTTTTCTGTTGAGTTGCATGAGTTCTTTATATATTTTGGATATTAACTGCTTATCAGATATATGACTTGGGGATATTTTCTCCCATTCCATAGGTTGCCTTTTCATTTTATTGATGGTTTCCTTTGCTGTGCAGAAGTTTTTAAATTTGATACAGTCCACTTGTTTATTTTTGTTGCTTTTGGTCTTGGTGTCAAATCTAAAAAATCATGCAAAGACCTATGTCAAGTTGCTTACTGCCTATGTGTTTTCCTAGGAGTCTGATGGTTTGAAGTCTTATGTTCAAGACTTTATTATGAGTTGATTTTTGTGTATGATGTAAAATAGTGGTCCAGTTTCATCTTTTTACATGTGGCTGTCCAGTTTTCCCAGTACCTTTCACTGAAGAGACTGTCTTTTCCCCGTTGTATTTCTTTGGCTGCTTTGTCATAAATTAATTGACCATAGATGCATAGGTTTATTTCTGGGCTGTTCTGTTCCATTGATCTCTGTGTCTGTTTTTATGCCAATACCATACAGTTTTGATGACTATAGCTTTGTAATGTATTTTGAAAGCAGGGCGCACAGTGCCTCCAGCTTTGTTCTCAAGACTGCTTTGGCCATTTGGGGTCTTTTATGATTCCATATAAATTTTAGGATTGTTCTATTTCTGTGAAAACACCATTGGAATTTTGGTAGGGATTGCATTGGATCTGTAAATTGCTTTAGGTAATATGGACATTTTAATAATATTAATTCTTCCAGTCCGTGAGCATGAATAACTTCCCATTTATTTGTGTCTTCTTCAATTTCTTTCATCAGTGTCTTACAGTTTTCAATCTACAGGTCTGTATACCTCCTTGGTTAAATTAATTCCTAGGTATTTTGTTCTCTTTGGTGTAATTGTAAATGGAGTTGTTTTCTTAATCTCTCCTTCTGATAGTTTGTTATTAGTGTATAGAAATGCAACTCATTTTCTTATATTGAATTTGTATCCTGCAATTTTGCTGAACCTGTGTATCCTCAGCTTTTTGGTGGAGTCTTGAGGGATTTCTCTATATAATATAATGTCACCTGCATATAGTTTTACTTTTTCCTTTCTGACTTAGATGCCTTTTATCTCTTTTTTCTTGCCTAATTGCCCTAGCCAAGGCTTCCGGTACTGTGTTGAATAAAAGTGGTGAGAGTGGACATCCTTATCTTGTTTTTTTTTAGATTTTATTTATTTATTTGACAGAGAGAGATACAGCGAGAGAGGGAACACAAGCAGGGGGAGTAGGAGAGGGAGAGAGAAGCAGGCTTCCTGCTGAACAGGGAGCCCGATGTGGGGCTCGATCCCAGGACCCTGGGATCATGACCTGAGCCGAAGGCAGACGCTTAACGACTAAGCCACCCAGGCGCCCCTCTTGTTCTTGATGTTAGAGGAAAAGCTCTCAGTCTTTAACCATTGAGTTTGTTAACTGTGGGTTTGTCCTATATGGCCTTTGTTATGTTGAGGTACATTCCCTCTGTACCCTTTTAGTTGAGAGTTTTTATCATGAATGCATGTTGGATATTGTTAAATGCTTTTTCTGCATCTGCTGAGATGATCATATGATTTTTATCCTTCATTTTGTTACTATGGTGTATCATACTGATCAATTGGCAGCTATTGAGCCATCTTTGCATCCCAAGGATACATTCCACTTGATCATGATGTATGATCTTTTTAATGTATTGTTTGCTAATATTTTGTTGAGGCTT